AATCCAGAATCATAAAGTCGCTGTTAGCACGCAGATTAAGAAACTCTTTTGCCATTTTTCAAGAGAACCATTAGGTTGCGACTTGTGGTTCCTTGGAAAAGTTTTACCTTCGTGATACAACTGTTCACCTACAATGCAAAGCAAAAAATTTCTTTCGACCTTGAAACTCAAGATCAAATTTACGGCAGATCCTTTACATGTATTTCCATCCAAATCGAAGGTGTAGAATTCATCTGACAGCCACGGACAAACTTTTCTTTCTACACTGTACAAGTGCGTTCTAACAGCGACTTTATGTTTCTGCACGCGTGGATGTTTATTTTACGTAATGTTTTGAATAATGTTAACAGTTGGTTTTATTATTTGATTATGTAAACTCGCACTGATGCTAAATCAAATGTCAGTGAAAGTTAATCCAGAATCATAAAGTCGCTGTTAGCACGCAGATTAAGAAACTCTTGCTATTTTTCAAGAGAACCATTAGGTTGCGACTTGTGATTCCTTGGAAAAGTTTTACCTTCGTGATACAACTGTTCACCTACAATGCAAAGCAAAAAATTTCTTTCGACCTTGAAACTCAAGATCAAATTTACGGCAGATCCTTTACATGAATTCATCTGTGACAGCCACGGACAAACATTTCTTTTCACCCTGTACGTCTACACCCGACCGAACTCCGGTCGGCTTTCTATCTGTTTTCCATCGGATTGGTCTTCCACTGCTGCCGGTCGATAGAGTCGTGGAACGCTGATCCCTGGAAGACGATGAGCCGCGTACCAGAGCAAAGTCAGGCGATCCTCGTGCGACGTTTTAACGACATGGTGGATCTGCTCCGAGCAACGAGCACAGCCAGAGTCGGTCGTTACATTGCGATCGTATTACAAGACGCGCGCAAGGGTCGCCGCCCTTTCTCCTCCTCCGACTTTGTTCTTTTATTGCTAGGCGAGAGAAAGAGGCAAACGTTTACACGTACGTCGCGAGACGTTACACGGAAAATTATACTACCAATGAGACTTTTATCTTCTGATCATGATGGCACCGCTCGTACGCGTGTCGTTTCCTTTTCCTTTTGGTTTTTAAATAACAGCTTTCCCACATAACACTCCGCCTCGAAATCGCGACTCTTGTACTCTTTTTCCAAAAAGAGCGTACCGTCAGACACGTATTCCCGCGTAAACTGTTATTTACTTACCCTTTGCTCCGGCATCGAGCTATTTGACTGCTCGCAGGGTAAAGTCGACTGCCGAATGAGCGATAAATTCGAACCGCTGGGGAACAGGCAAATATACATGTATGTATGATCTATGTACACACCTATATGCACCGTGTCGTCTATGAGGTACGGAGAAAACAAACATTGATTCTCGGCTCCCACCGACGTGATTCAATATTTGTATTTCCCCCGATGAAAGTGTATCATCGCGCATCAATCAAGAGGAACAAACGCTTGCCGAAATGTGCATCGCGCGCCGTCTCGATCCCATAGATTTCCCAGCTCCGTTCTATCTATCTATCTATATGTGTGTATATATATATATATATATATATATATAT